AAAAGGTGCACATGTGGCTTGATGTACCATCGTTGTAATTACATATAAAACTTCGTCTATACTCTAATAAAAAGTTCTCCAGGCCAAAGAGGTCATCTTAATACCAAAAAAAAAAAAAAAAAAAAAAAGAAATAAAGAAAAAGGTAGAGAACAACAACAATTACCTAGCATAACAAACCTACAAAAAAATGTAAACCTCAATAAAACCTGGGAAAAAATACAAAGAGCAATTCAAAAAGTGGCAAAAAGTACACTACCTAAAAAAGAAAAGACGCCTAAACTTCAAGACTACCAAATTGAAAATGAGGAGTTGAAGAATTTGAGGAAAGATATAAGAGTAACGGGAAAATGGTGTCGTAAGCTCAAAAAACCCTCACATTTCGAGGATACAACAAACTCATATGAAGAGCAGATGAGCAAGGAAGCAAGAGAATGGCTAGCAGTATTAAAAGACAAATATATAGAAGATCAGTCTGAAGCAGGTATACAAGATTGCCAAGAAGAAACGAATGATAGAAGAGAGCTTGAGATATGGTGGAAGAGCCTTTACAAAACATGACAATCAAAAAAGAGAAAAGCAGAGGAAAAAGAAATACAAGAACATATTGAAAGAAGGCATGCGATAATAGTAAACGATCAAAGAAAAATGATCACTAGCCTATTAAAAAAACTATTCAATAAGCTAAAACTAGACAGAGTAGTAGTAGAGAGGGAAAATACAAAAGAGGAGCTGATACACAAGCCTCAAGAAGTGCTTAATGCAGTCAAAGACCACTTCCAAAGGCAATTCAGAGAAAGAAATACAAAAGTGAACAGACTCCCATCCTTTTGGAGAAAAGAATACGAGCCAATCGAAGAAGTTAAAGAAGAATGGTACGAGGATCTAACTAGCTCTGTAAAACAAGAAGAATAAGAGATGGCTTTAAACCAAACCAAAAATAGCTCCACTTCAGAAATATCTGGAATACCTTACTCTCTGCTCAAAAATGTAGGAAAATTTGCAAAAAGCATCTTTACCAGTCTAGCCTCAGCATGTATAAAGACAAGTAAAATCTCCAAGAAGTGAAAAATTGGAATGCTTTACCCAATTCCAAAGAAAGAAGAATGAGGATACAAGTTCAATAATGTCAGATCTATTCTACTCCTGAAGACTTTTCGAAAATCAGTAGTAAGAATAGTAAACAATAGACTCAGCCAGGTACTAAAAGAAAAAGAAGTCCTTAAAGGATGAAATTTTACAGGATTACCTGAAGAAGGAATGGCTGTGCCAATACATCTACTAAATTATATTCTAGAAGATGCTAAAGAAAAGAAAAAAGAGGTCTGGCTCTTTTTTCAAGACA